AATGCCCAAAATAAAGTTTTAATTAGAGCCATAGAAACAGACCAAAAATTTTAAAACTGAATGTATTGTGACGTTTCGTCTTTGCTCAAGACATCTTCAAACAATTAATAAGTAGGATGCTAAGACAAGATATTATATTTACAAAAGGTGTTAAATTACTACTAAAGGAGGCGTTGTCAAATGGACTATATAATAAGGAAGTAAGGAAGTAAAATTAAGAGAAATTAAAAGAGATTAAATGGAATGGAATTGCACGTTAAGTGAAGGCTTGTATTTACTGATTAGAAGGCTCTCATTAATGGAGAGTTCATAAGAATCGTTAGAAGAGAAGATTATTTTAAAGTCGTCCAAATTGAAGGTGTGTCCAGTTGCGTTCATGTTAGCAAAAATGCTCGATAACGCAGAGTGGGAAACTTGGTTGCCGGTAAGGGGGGGGATATTCCCAAGTGCTCCGAAAATTTGGTGTGCAGATGACGTGTGGTTTGAACCACATACGAAGCGTTGCAATTTCGATACTTGAAGAAATATACGACATACTACACCAGATCTCAGAGGTTTGGTAATTTTGTCCTTAAAGGGGAAGAAAGAAGAGATACGTCGGGAAGAGCGGAAGACAAATTTAATAGATATATGTGGGAAGGCTGCAGCACAAAGGCTTTTGATTTTTGTGCGAATTTGAAGGGAGTGCATGCCTGTGAAAGGAAGACAAAAATAGATCGCCCATAGTTGTTAAAAATGCTATTAAATATTATGCGGGTGGTTTCGTCAACAAGTATGTTAGTAAATACGGATACAACATCAAAACTAGAAAGGACAACATTACTTGAGTTGATATTGCAATTTAAGATTTCTTCAACAAAGGTGAAAGAGTCTTTGATGATGAAGTTGCGTATAGTGAATGGTTTTAAGAATGGGATGAAAAACTTTGCTAGTTTATACGAAAAGTGATTAATGGAGGAAAGAATGGGTCTGAGAGGGACGTTGACGAAACCTGTTGACGAAACCATCCGTATAATATCTATCCGTATAATTGGGCCCTCTCTTTGCTGATATGTTCATGTCCTTTCACGAACAATCCTGGCTGGATAAATGGCTCTCTTTATTCAAACCACTACTTTACCGACACTACGTTGACGACTGTTTTTTACTTTTTCATTCCCCCTATCACGTCCCTCTCTTTATTAACTATCTGAACCGACAACACCCGAACATCACATTCACAGCTGAAGTAAAAAAAACCAGAAAACTATCATTTTTTGACTTTGACATCTCTCGCACAAATGGAAAATTCACCTCTTCCGTCTACCGGAAACCTACTTTCACTGGCCTCTTCCCTACCTTCCACAGCTTTATCCCACTTACTTACAAACTTTCACTAGTCTACTGCTTACTTCACCGCATCTTCAACCTTTGTTCTACTTACGAAAATTTTCATACACAACTCGAATATACCAGAAAGTCACTCACCAAAATCTGTTTTCCTTCATGTATAATTGACCAATGCACACGTCGCTTCCTTAACAGCAACTTTGCCCCCAAACCACCTGTCTTGATTGCTCACAAAATGGCCACCTATTTTTCTCTTTCTTTCACCGACATGCATTCCTTTCAAAATCACACACAAATCAATAGCGTTTGTGCTGCAGCCTTTTCACATATATCTATTAAATTCTTTTTCCTCTCTTCCCATCGTATCTCTTCTTTCTTCCCCTTTAAGGACAAAATTCCCAAACCTCTGAGATCTGGTGTAGTCTATTTATTCAAGTATCGAAATTGCAACGTCTCGTATGTGGCTCAAACCACACGTCATCTTCAATCAGATTTTCGCAGCACTTGGGATTATCCCTCCCTTACAGACAACCAAGTTTCACACCCTTCGTTATCGAGCATTTTTGTTCACATTAACGCAACTGGACACACCCCCAAATTAGACGACTTTAAAATAATCTCCTCTTCTAACGATTCTTATAAACTCTCCATTCATGAAAGCCTTCTAATCAATAAATACAAGCCTTCACTTAACGGGCAAGGAAATTCCATTCCATTTAACTTCTTTTAATTTCTCTTCATTTTACTTCCTTACTTCCTTATCATACAATCCATTTGACAACGCCTCCTTTAGTAGTGATTTAACACCTCTTGTAAATATAATATCTTGTCTTAACATCCTATTTATTAAGTGTCTGAAGATGTCTTGAGTAAAGACGAAACGAAACAATAAATTCAATTTTACAATATTTGGTCCATTTCTATGGCTCTAATTAAAACTTATGTTGGGTATTAATTTATTATTACACGAATACTCACAATATTACAGCATTAAAGAAGTTCCTGTTGGCGCACTACAAAGTTTTCCTTTGCCTAAGCATAAAGCCTTTCAATTGCCGTGGACTTGTTGTTTGACCAATTTAACGTGTAAAATACCATGGAAAACTTGTAAATCTAAGCTGAACAACCCAAAGAGAGTTTAGAAAAAAGTCCATTAACACGGAAACTTGCTTTTTCAAAACAAGTATGGTATTGACCGGTCCTACTTGTTTCAGTTTCAAAAACCTACTGGAAACAAGCATTCGAAGCAGAAACCAAGCGTTATTTTTAAAAATTTTGGTATCCATGGTTACCATGACCAATTTATTGTTGTTTCATAAAAATAAAATTTCACAAAGAATAACCTCATTTTAACATAAAATTTAATCATCCTAAACTGTCAAAGAATTATGCTTGTTTTAAAAAATAAAATCTTAGCTGTACAAAAGTTGCGTTTTTTAAAGATAGAGTATTACTTCTTTTTCCTCCTATTGAGCTACGTAAGAGATATTGCAAATACTTTAAATTATAATATTTCGTTTACAGATGGAATCAAGAGAAGAGATAAACTGGAATTATCTTCACAAAATGATTACAGATGTGGTTCGAAAGGAGCTTGCTGACTTATTTATTCAAGAATGGAATAGAAAAGCGTACGGAGAATGGGATAACACAGTCAGTAGTGGTCAGATACTTTATAATATAGAGTTAACAAGGTGGCGACCAAACAAGTCGATTCTTCAATCAAATTTCAAAAATGGAAACACGAGTAGCTGGGATTGCAGTACATTATTTGATGCAATACTTTACTCAAACGCAATAGGACACAGCCTAAAAATGTGTAAAAAGAAGATATGGGATTCTGTCAATGATCTTCGATCAGTTCGAAACACCATAATCCATAAAAAACAAGGGAATCTGTCGGAAATTGAATTTCAAGAATTGGTTGATAAAATAGAAAAATCTTTTGGAAATTTAAACTTTTCCCAAGACAAAATCCTTTACATGAAAACTGAACGAAACAAATTTAACTCATTTCTTGTTCTTCCATGTAAACCAAATCATTATATAGTTGAGCGCACTGCAATACGGGATCAAATTATTAAGGATCTTCAAAAGTTGAAGAACGATAACAATAATGAGCTGACATATTTCTACATTTCTGGAAACCCAGGCAGTGGTAAGTCTCAACTTGCAAGACAAGTTTGTAAAGAAAAGTTTGAGTCGTTCGATTGGAAAAACGAAACTACGTTTGTGTGGACTCTTGATGGTAAAGACGAGGAGTCTCTTTTTAAAAATTATCTTGGTCTTTGTTACCGTATAAACTGTGATAATTGCAGAATAAAACAATACTCTGAAGAAAATATTGCCGTTACAGAGAAAATTAAGGACCTGCTATCCTTACTATTAACCCGAATAAAATTATGGCGCAACTGGTGGATTATTGTTGATAACGTTGTTCAACCGAACAAAATCCATCCGTTGCTACCTAAAAAAGGCGAACATGGCTGGATGAACGGACAAATTATTTTAACTGTACAAAATACTGAAGGTATACCTCACAAAGAAGTGTTGAGTAAACACGTTTCGATTAGTCATGGGATGAATGACAAAGAATGCTTTGAGTTGTTAAATCACTACACTGAAGATAAAAATGCCGATGGTCAATTGTTAAATGACGTAATAGACACGTTAGATCGTCAACCGCTGGCTTTGGCTGCTGCCGGATATTACGTCGATAATGTCAACAAAGCCAACTGTAATTTCACATGGAAGCAATATTTAGAAAAATTGTGTTCTGGAAAACGAGAAGAGATGGACAAAACTCTTACAAAAGATAACACAGAATATTCTAAAACAATGCTACAGGCTGCTGTTTTAGCTGTTGAAATAAATGCACAAAATTCTTTAATTCTGGCAAATGTCTTTAAATTTTTTTCCTTGCTTTCGTTTCATCCATTGCCAAGAGATATTATTGTCAAATACATTCAATCAACTGATGTCACACAGTCTGTCGAAGATGTATGTCTTGCTTTAAAACACTGCTCTTTGTTTACGTTTTCCGAAAATGAAGATATTTGTCTCCATCGTGTTTTTTATGAAGCAATGATTGTTTATCAACGCAGTTATGGTCATAAAAATTATGAAACGGAGCACAATTGCAACTCCACTACTTTTGAGGACGCTTTATCCCAAGTTATTGACGCACTTCATAGTTTTAAAGACCGAAAAGATCAAGCGAAATTGATTCCACATCTTGAAAAATTTCTATTGTTGAATTTATCAAAGATAAAAGTTGACTTAAATTCTGTGGAAGCTTTAAAATTTCTTGAAGAAGCTTTACTAGATTTCAAAAAATTGAAGCTTGCGAATCAGCTTGTAGAAAAAATAATGTCGAAAACAAGTGAATCAACTTTTAATGAAAAACCTTGGTGTTTTATTGAGCTAAGTAGGATATACTATTACAACCAGGAATATGAACAAGCAAATTTCTTTAATGAGACGGCTATGGAGTTTTTGAAAAAATCATCAAATCCTGTGGTGGTTTCTAAGTCTTTAAACATCCTTGGAGTTCTACATCATGACAAAAGAGAATACGAAAAAAGTGAATAGTTTTACAAAAAAGCTCTGGAAAAGCGAAAAGAAATTTTAGGCCCAGAGCACATTCATGTTGCTGATTCTTTATGCAATCTTGGTGTTTTGTATGCAGAAACTGAAAATTATGAAAAAAGTGAAAGCAACTTTAAAGAAGCTCTAGAAATGCGAAAAAAATTGTTAGGGCCAGATCATGTTGATGTCGCGGATCTTTTATACAATCTTGGTATTTTATATAAAAATTGTGGAAAATATGAAGATAGTGAAAGCTACTATAAAGAAGCTGTGGAAATGCGAAAAAAATTGCTAGGGCCAGATCATGTTGATGTCGCGGATCTTTTATACAATCTTGGTATTTTATATAAAAATTGTGGAAAATACGAAGAAGGTGAAAACTACTATAAAGAAGCTCTAGAATTAAGAAAAAAGTTGTTAGGGCCAGATCATCTTGATGTCGCTAATTCTTTAAATAATCTTGGTTCATTGTATCTTGAAACTGGTGAATATGAAAAAAGTGAAAACTACTATAAAGAAGCTCTTGAAATGCGAAAAAAATTGTTAGGGCCAGATCATGTTGATGTCGCGGATCTTTTATACAATCTTGGTATTTTATATAAAAATTGTGGAAAATACGAAGAAAGTGAAAACTACTATAAAGAAGCTCTAGAATTAAGAAAAAAGTTGTTAGGGCCAGATCATCTTGATGTCGCTAATTCTTTAAATAATCTTGGTTCATTGTATCTTGAAACTGGTGAATATGAAAAAAGTGAAAGCTACTATAAAGAAGCTCTGGAAATGCGAAAAAAATTGTTAGGGCCAGATCATGTTGATGTCGCGGATCTTTTATACAATCTTGGTATTTTATATAAAAATTGTGGAAAATACGAAGAAGGTGAAAACTACTATAAAGAAGCTCTAGAATTAAGAAAAAAGTTGTTAGGGCCAGATCATCTTGATGTCGCTAATTCTTTAAATAATCTTGGTTCATTGTATCTTGAAACTGGTGAATATGAAAAAAGTGAAAACTACTATAAAGAAGCTCTTGAAATGCAAAAAAAATTGTTAGGGCCAGATCATGTTGATGTCGCGGATCTTTTATACAATTTTGGTATTTTATATAAAAATTGTGGAAAATATGAAGAAAGTGAAAGCTACTATAAAGAAGCTCTGGAAATGCAAAAAAAGTTACTTGGGCCAGATCATGTTGATGTCGCGAATTCTTTACACGGTCTTGGTATTTTATATGAAAATTGTGGAAAATATGAAAAAAGTGAAAGCTACTATAAAGAAGCTCTGGAATTAAGAAAAAAGTTATTAGGGCCAGATCATGTTGATGTCGCTAATTCTTTAAATAATCTTGGTTCATTGTATCTTGAAACTGGTGAATATGAAAAAAGTGAAAACTACTATAAAGAAGCTCTGGAAATGCGAAAAAAATTGTTAGGGCCAGATCATGTTGATGTCGCGGATCTTTTATACAATCTTGGTATTTTATATAAAAATTGTGGAAAATACGAAGAAAGTGAAAGCTACTATAAAGAAGCTCTGGAAATGCAAAAAAAGTTATTAGGGCCAAATCATGTTGAAGTCGCGGATTCTTTACACAATCTTGGTCTTTTGTATTATAATCGTGGAAAATATGAGAAAAGTGACAACTACTATAAAGAAGCTCTGGAATTAAGAAAAAAGTTATTAGGGCCAGATCATGTTGATGTCGCTAATTCTTTAAATAATCTTGGTTCATTGTATCTTGAAACTGGTGAATATGAAAAAAGTGAAAACTACCATAAAGAAGCTCTGGAAATGCGAAAAAGATTGTTAGGGCCGGATCATGTTAAAGTTGCTGATTCTTTAAGCAATCTTGGTATTTTATATGGAAATTGTGGAAACAATGAAAAATGGGAAAACTACTGTAAAGAAGCACTGGAAATGCAAAAAAAGTTATTAGGGCCAGATCATGTTAAAGTCGCGGATTCTTTAAACAATCTTGGTATTTTATATGGAAATTGTGGAAAATATGAAAAAAGTAAAAACTACCATAAAGAAGCTCTGGAAATGCGAAAAAAGTTATTAGGGCCAGATCATGTTGATGTTGTTGTTTCTTTAAAGAATCTTCATGTGTTACATAAAAAATTTAAAAAGTGTAGAGAAAAAGACTCCACAAATTTCAAAGTTTGTATTATCTTCTGAATATGCTTAGCACAAAAGCATTATATTGGCTGTTTACAAAACCACCAAGACAATGTAAATATTAAATATGTAATATTTATTATTTCTGAAAATATAAGACTTTATGTAAACCTACATTGCTTTTAATAAAATTTGTTTTTCATTGTGATTTATTATACTAGAACTACATTTAAAGAAAAGCATTTTGAATTACATACGTTAATTTAAGAAATACGTATAAAAAAAAGAAGTTTTCTTTTGCAAACCAAATTGGACAAAATTATATCGAGAAATGCAAAAGTATGTTGAGAAATGCATGCAATAGTCGAGATTTACGTACCATTATCGAGAAAAGACTACTGATACACGAACATTGCGAATATCACACTTGAGATATGCGCTCAGTTATTTGGTAGTACACGCAATAATCGAGAAACACATGCAACTGTTGAGAAACGCGAGTAATGGTCGAGAAATGCACGAAGTTGTCAAGATTTTTGCCTGTTCGTTTGGTCAGCGTTTAGCAGTTTAGAAAATCGGAAATTATTGGCTCTGTTCGTAGTTTCTTTTTTCGCCTTGCGGTTACGTGCAGTCATTACAAAACAATTATTACTCGTAATCAAAAAACTCGATATTTTTTCATTTGCTGCGAATAATGGGCGACAATTTAAGTAAGTTAGAGGGCTTTCTGCTATTAGCGATTATTAGGTTATGTCTCGGTGACAAAGATTATGTTAGAACAGACCATTGCATATTTAAATGGAGGATTATATTGAAATTTTAATTGCCATGGAAGTTGCTGTAGCGGAAATTACTGGTCCAACTTCAAAACTGCTTTTATTATTAGAAAATCTAATCGATATATGAGGTAGGGAAGGTTATCTTGTCCGCACACTACTGGAAAAACACCAGCGTACAACATAATTAGGCCTCAAATAGAGCACTTTGGGAAACGGTATTGTCCTGGTGCAAAATTGCAGAATTACTGTGTGTGTCAGAACACACCGCGCAAAAAGAACAATAGATTTCAATATTGGAGATATTTTCTCTTAAATATCAGACAATGATTTGGACACACAGGTACGAGAAATTCTAAACCTTACACCCTACAGTGGCGAGTCATATGTTATGAGTAGACTAAAAAGGAAGGGGCATGAATGTTCCAAGACGTAGGATTATAGCAAGCTTAAAAAGAAATAATTCTATTGGCAGAAGTATGAGAAAAAGATATCCGATTTCGCGTCGTGCTTACAATGTCATTTATTACATATCGATTTAAATCACAAACTCTTACTTGGTGTCTTGTGACTGATGGTTACATCGATGGATTTAGCAGAGCTGTAATATATCTTGCCTGTCGTATACTAACAAACCCCAAACTATACTTGAGAAAGGTTTGACGATTTTGGTTCAACATTAAGAGTACGTGGGGATCATGGAGTGGAGAATTTGTAGTGTCAAGGTTCATTGTATCCAATAAAGGTACTAATCGTTGAAGCTTATTGGCAAGTAAAATTGTCCACAATCAGTGCATTGAGCGTTTATTGGCTAAAGTTAATCGGTGATGACAGCCTGAATATATTGCTAAACGGATTCAATTCTTATACAATTTACATTTAACAAATCATAGATCATATAATTCAAAGTTAGAATTAAAAATGTCATTACTAAATTACTAAATTAGTTGATTACTAAATTAGTTTTATTTTTGTTTTCTAGGGAGGAATAAAGAAAACACGACGAAAAATGAGTGCAGAATGACGTAAAAGAAAAGTGTTTTACAACAATTGTCAATATTAGTTTAAAAAAGATGTATAGTTAATTACGTGTGGATAAAATGCAGACTCGGACTTGCGGACAGAATTTTGATTAACGAAGCCAAGGAAGATAAAGAGACTCGTAAAAATTTTACTGCAGCAATAAAGGAGTCAAATTCCAGTTATAAAATAAATGTGTAAATCTGTAAGTGAGGTTGGAGTTGGAATAAGTCGTTCCTTGAAAATGCTCGCACATGCTACAACAGCAAAATATCACCCTGTCAAATAAAATATATTTCACCATGGTTATACAACGAATGCCATATATGGAACACATCAACCATTTAGTTTATCAAAATCTGCACCCACATGCTCTCACGGACAAACTTATTATGATAAGGATGAAAACGCTATTGTTGACTAGAAACTATTGCTAATGATAACAGTTATTAATTTTAGCAAGGCAAAAAAATGAACAATATTTGTACATAAAATTATGTTGATTACAAACTTTTATAATTGCCAAGGCAAGCAAGTCCATATTGTTCTCAAGAATAAGAACATGGATGTTTTCTACTTTTCGCTTATAAACTAATTATAAATTTTTGACTGTTCATTATTTAAGAAATAAAACATATTTACTGTGTTTGCACAGGCTTATGAAAACCGAGGAGACCTTTGAGAGAACTCAAGAGAAGATCAGTGTAAGGCCGAGACCGAAGGTCGAGGGTTGCACATGCTCGATAGTTCCCACAAACGAATCCGAGGCTTACATAAGCCATTACAAACACAAAAAACATCTTTTATTTCTTTTATAAAATAATGATAACGCGAAAAAAGACAAACATCTTAATATTTCCTCTAAAATGTATTCATGATCGATTTGCAAATTCTCTTTGACTGATCGATTGTTTAGATTGATTTGATTGGTTGAGCTATGATAAGCTTTGCACTGGCAAATGCAAACTCAGCTCTAGAACAATCAGCGCACGCGTTTTATAGTGTTGATTTTATAATAAATACCGAATCATTTAGTTTTGCTTTGGCATTGTTGTGTTGTTGTTTGGCATTTTCCAACGATAACAAAACGCCTTGTCAAAATATGATAGGTTAGCACTTTACAAATCTCTATTTACTATTGTGTAATAAAAAACAATAACCTTTGTTTGGTTTTCAAATAACAGTGGATTTTTTCAAGTGATCATTACTACTATGTTAAGTGATCTGGAAGGCACGTGTAAATATTAGATGTTAACAAATTTTAAAAATGTTCGTAGCACCTTCATCAGTGCTCGTGGAAAAAAATGGCTGAGGTAAGTTTCCATGCTAATCTTTATTTGCTCAGATCATATTGCTTTTTTACCAGATACTTGTCAACATAAGTGCTGTGCTGCTCACTGAAATTATGCAATATAAAACATGCGTAAACAACAGTAATTATTATGTTAAATATAAGTCCATTGACCTTGTATAGAATACACAACGTGCCTTCAAACCCTAAAAGACTCACTCTACTGGGCTTCTTCCAGACCTTAATATTTGATTAAAAACAACCTCTTCATTGCTTCTACAACTTTCTTACTCTTTCATTCAAAAGGGTGTTAATAGATTTGCTGGCTCTGCTATTATATAGTTTGGTACATGTTTAAGGCGTGAAAAATCTGACTGAAAGATTCTTGGTGGTTCGTTACCTTGCAGCTTATGATTAACAGAAGAGTTGGCAAATACTTTGGCGTCATGGACACTTCCACGCCACATTTATTCAATGTTCATGAATTGACCTCTGTAGTCACAAATGGTTTGCACATTTAACGAATGAAATTGCTTGTAACAAAAATAACATTGCGAGTTTTTGTGTGGCTTTTTAATTGGTATATGTGTCCCATCTATGAAACCCATTGCTTAAATCATTTCAAATATAGCTTCAAACTCAGATACTTTTGTTCCCATTTCATCACAATCATAAAGGATATAGATGTATTTTTGTCAACAATTCTTAAAAATTGCCTTGCATACTTCTCCAAATGCATCGGAAGCTGTATTTATTGCCATAATAACTGAATTGGTTGTCATTTTAAGGGAGACAGTATTTTTGAGATAATACAAACCTATTGCAAGTTTTTTTCTAAGTACACAGTGCACAATAATTTGGTGAAAAGGGTTTGGTGAAATAAATGAACGGAGTTCATCTGCTAATTCCATGAACCTCTTGATCACTGAAAAGATGAAATTTTTTCCCAAGATTCCTGCTATATAGTGAGCTCTCCAACGGCAAAAGATCAGTCGGAGGCCAGAAGAAGCGGTTCAAGGACACATTAAAGACCTCATTGAAGTCCTTTAACATCAACACCGCAACATGGGACAAACTTGCAGGGAACCGATCAACCTGGCGCGATCTCATCTTTAAGTGCACTGTCACGGTCAAAAATCTTCACCAGACGAAGCAATTTGTTGGAAGATGGGCTTCATGAAATAGTTTTCATTTCGACCGCCATAGGAAAAAAACTTTATGCATCAATAAGATGACACAAACATCACAGTGAAGGTTTATATAAGACGTAGTCATGCATCAGAAAGGCTTTTTAAAACTCTTTCCAAATTACCTAAATGTTCTTCCTCTAAGACACCTCTAATCAGGAAATTACCAAGTAAAACTCCTTTGTTGGAGATGCAATGTAGTAGACCCTTTTTGGAGTGTGTACATACCCACTTGAAACAAACGAGAATAACTGTGAAGAATTTGATACACCTGTTGGTTATTTGATGTTATTTGTTTTATGATTGGCTACGTCAAGGGCCTTACATCTAGCCAAATGTATAGGACCCTTTCCGGGTACGGCTAATAAATGCAATTTAAATTTTTTTCCTTTATCTTTTAACACAGGCATCCCCTAGTCCTGTTTCTTAAAGGTAATTGGTAGGTTTGTTCTTTCACGTTTCTCTCTTTTCCTTTCCGTCTGCTCCTACAAACTCTTAGAGATATGTCTAAATTTGCATCACGCTTGTCATTTTGCCTCGTTAAATTGACACTCGTTGGGGTGGTGTTTTCCATTACAATTAAAATGTTTCGGGTAATGTGTATGTTTATACTGTACCTTTAATGTGTCCTAGTTCAATATCAAAAGCGAGGTCAAGTGCCGCTTAAAGGTAAATTGAGCTTTAGATAATAATCGCCGTTGTATCTTATAGTCATTGATTAAGGCTTTCATTGTGTCAAAAACATTGAAATTGTCTTACCTTGGTTTTGGCTTCGTGTGTTGAACCTGAAACGCTGGACAAATTACATTAAGATTATGATTGGATATAGCTTTATTAGACATCTGTTAAATCTAATGAAACAATCTAGCAATTACTTATGACATGTTTAGGTATACAGTATGGATAATTTTCAACCTTTTTGTTTAAAGTTTCA